TAGCAGTGTCTCCTCTCCCATGCCAACCTCAATAGATAAAATTGGAAGTTTGCTTAGCTTTCTTGAGAAAGCCAGCATTTTCTTTCTGTCATTTTTCTTTTTTGCTGCCTATAAAATGACAGTTCAGACATAACTTTTAGAAAAGCTATTTTTAGACTCCTCCCCCCAAACATTCTTTAACTATTTCTCTTATACAGGACACATACTCTGGGGATCATTTTATGCTTTGATGGAGAGATTAGGCAATCACTCTGTTCTGGGTCATTATTAGAGGTCATATTGCAGGTCCAGAAGCACATGAAGAGTAGCAAACAGCCTAGAAGTCGGTGTTGATTACTGAAATAATGATCATTTTGTGGGCTCTTCCCTTTCGATGGGCTTCCACTACCCACCCCACTACCCACAAGCCACTTATTTTCCTGTTAACTCCAGCATCTCTTCCCTAGTGAAAATAGCCTGATACATGTGTGCAAGTTTAATGCTGAAAGGGAGGGTCAGCCTTCCCCATACATAATCACTGTTTTATGGCTTTCACTCATTCCTGAGGTGTTAATGCAGATCAAATGGGAAACACTGGAGACAGAACCCTTGCAGCTACTGCTCTGCCTAGCTCTCCCCTCTCAATCGTTAATTCTTATTGTAAGATCTAAAGGTAATTTTGTTTGCTCTCTTAATGCCTTGCAGGTCTCCCAGTGGTCCTTACATATCCTTTCTCAAATTCCCATCTTGATCAATTGTTTGCAAATAATTAAGCTTTTAAGAGATAATGGCAGGAGGCTAATATACACAACAAAGGCAAGGTTTCTCTCACTGTCTATTGGACTATGGTCAAATTTACTCTGATATACTAAAGTGATTAAGTTGATTGGTATACCAGGCAAGCACAGTAAGTCTTCCCTTCTCAAGAACCTACTGATCTTTCTTAAACTAATGTTCTTTTCATTTAGATGCAATACAGCACAAGTATTGAGGAAAATGGACAGAAATTCTTAGCTGCAATTGTTTGTAAAGAGTTTCCTGTTTTCTCCCTAAAATGGCACTTTTCAGGAATCACCCTTTAGCTCTTGCAAAATGACATCTGCTTTTGCCCATTGCATGGCCTCACAACCCTGTGGGTGGAACGCAACAGGGCTCTGGGTGTTTTTACAGCAGCCTCGCCTGTGGCATGTTGGCTTTTATTCAAGTCTTTTTTTTTTTTTAAGTCTACAAAGGAATAACTCATACTATCCGCAAAAAACTTATCTAGTAAAGATGCATAGGATTTAAGATATTTAAACATATTGGGTTTCAGTTGAAAAGCCTCCTTCTTTGTGAATTTTTGTGGATTAGCTACATGAAGTCATGGCTTTCATGTGATTCTAGGCATTGTAGACTTTTTTTTCAAGGATTTGAAAGTTTGTGGGACAGCAAGGCCAAGAACCACGAGGAAAAAGAAAATAACATTCAATTGACCCACCATAGACAAGAGTTTAGGAATTTTGCAGATACCATTGTTCCTTCCTTAAGCATAGCCAAATTATTAGGACACTCAATTTTGCTCCGGCTCATTCATTTCTTTATAGATATATAAGAAAACATATCCCAAACAACTAAAATTGCTTAATGGAGACTGAGTGCTGGATTTCCATAGCTTGAGGCTGCCTAGCAATTATACTGCATAAAATTAGACACAGTTTGTTCCTATCACTTAAAATCAGAGCACATGAAAAGTGACAGAGGGAAAAAAAGATGGACCTTTCCAATCTTATGATACTGAAATTATGAAATTGGCAATTGTATGATGTAAAGAAACAACTGAACTTTGCACTGAAAATTTGAGGGCCATCTTACTGCTCTTTAGTGAAATACAATTCAGGTAGTTTTAATGATTCAAAGAGAATTTTCCTGACACCACTTACATAAATAAAAGTGTGAGCTCCACAAGAATGCATGTAGAACTTGCTCACAAACAGGCATGTGAAAATACTCTTGAAAACACAAGACAAATAAATTACTGTCACAATTCTCAATTTCCTGAGTAACTAAAGATAAATGGCATAAATATTAATTTTTATCCAGTTCTGGTCATAACATTAAGACACCACTAACAAGACAGGGCAAAGGTGTTATTCAACTCTGCTGAAGGGAGACTGTTGATAATTTTATTTGTTCTATTGAAAACCACTGAGATTTCCATAGGACCTAGAAAACTAAGTGAACATTATTGCAGAAAATGTTGTAGTGTGGAAATTGTTTGTATACATACCCATAGCTTTAGATGGCAAATAATGTCTGTAGCTGGATATTAAAATTTGAATATTACTTGATATTATTTGAATACATTTTGAATAATGCTATAGGAGATGCTAGCATGAATAATCTTTAACTTCAGTGTATCTTAGAACTGTGGATGACAAAACTAAAGGTTAGAAGAGTTGTTGTCCCTTGTTCAAAGTTGCATGGTCAATAAGTGGTAGTATAATTTATGCAGTCTAGTAGGATCATTTATATTATGTTCAATTCTTCAACTAGTACAGATATAGAACTACTATATATCAGTTTATAATTCAGTGTTATGTTCATGGGACATGAGATACATTTTATTCTAGTTGTGTAGCAAACATTTAAACAGCAGTAGTTATATTAAACCTGAGGGAAATGGGAGCTTTTAGCCCAGGATCTAATCATGAGATTTTTGGTTACAATTGTCAGAATTATTTTGAGTAGAGTCATTATCACCTACTATCTTAGGTCTACTGTGAGATTTGTATACTTTTATTTGAAAAGAGTGGGTTGACATCACTTTGAAAAATGAAACAGAGAAAATAGTATTATGAATCTCAAATTGAATTCTTTCTACTTTCTGTGGGCTTTGAAAAAATTTATTATTCATTATGGTGTTGCATCTGAGTGGAGAGTATCTATGTATCTTGATAAGTTGTGGCTATTCTCTTAGCTCCACAAATATTTTTACCAATTTCCTCTTTTGTGCTAGTCTGGGCTTTGAGGATGGAGAATAAAGAAGGCAAGTTGCTTGGAGAGCTGGTATAGATGGATGTGAAGAGACAGCCCAACAAGAAAACACATAATTAAAACAAGTAGGGGCCGGGGATTTAGCTCAGCCATTCGGTGGCCTGCCTTGCAAGAGCAAGGACCCGAGTTCAATCCCCGGTACCAAAGAAGCAAACAAAAAAAAACAAGTAGCTCTGAGACTGATGCTTGCTATTAGAGATATAAGAAAAGGATTGATGTGAGATCTCTGAGCGGGCAGGGTAGTGGATAGTCGGGAAGGTGAAGCTTGACCTTTGAGCTGAGCTCTGAAAGTAACTTTGGAACAGGAACTTGAGTGATACGAAGAAGATCCGCGTGATGGAAGAACAGAAAGGAGAATGGTGGGGTGGGGCACAAGGAGGGATGAGGGAAAGAGGAAAGCCACGAAATCTGAGAGGTGGGCAGGGCTGGATGGCGGCTTGTCTCAAGGACAGTGGTAGGCAGTCTGGAGGTTTTGGACAAGAGACATTAGCAGGGATTATGCGAGGCATTTGTCATAGTCTTGAGTCATACTGAGGCTTAGAGTCGGCGAGGGAAGGAGAATGTATCACTGACCCATGACTACTGCCAGCCAACCCATTCCCTGGCCAGTTTCCTCACATGTAAAACAAGAGGGATGATAGGTTCCATTTATGTCACTCAAAGGGGTATAATAGGGATTAATTGCCATCCTGTCTGTAATATACTTGGAGCTCTTTAGAGAAAGGCACTATATTCCATGAAAACAAAGCCTTATTCTAATTGCGTATTTATTGATTAAGTGACAACTAAAGACAATGCTTTTGGGAAAAATTGCTATATCTCTGCTTTCCACAAATGTATCCCACATGTATAGATACAGAACATATTTCAACTTACATGTATGAGCACTGAGGTGGTCATTAACAAGTCATTTTAGCATGTCTAATCAGACATTATTAATAAAATTAAAAGGTATGTTAATTAGCATTCAGTAGACCAGAATTTAGTTTCTATGGCATAAACAGTTAAATTAGGGGTTGGGGATGTCCTTTTCCATTTATATTAAAACAGATGGTTGATTCTCAGAACAATTTTGTCTTGGGAGAATTTATGGAGAAGTTATACTTCAAGCCAGCCAAGGTCTCCTTAGATGGGAACTATACCCTCAGTTACTCTCCTAGACTTTAGAAATGTGTGTTTCAAAGTTAGATATAGTCCAAATTGTATTTTTGCCAAAACTCATTTCGGTGGATTTCCAAACATTCTTATAAGAAAGTATGAATTACATTTTATTATCTGAAAATGTAGTGTTTTTTATCTACTCTCCCTCATTCAAAGTACAGCTGGGCTTATTTTTAGCATGCAGACTATGCTGGTCTTTGACTTTCTATGGGCTTGTGGCTTGTGTTAGGAATCCCAATGTGCATTGACGTTCAGATGTGGAAACCAACTTTGGTTGAATTGTGTTTGTTTGTGCTTTGCTGAAGAGCTAAAATGTATACTGGTTTAAACAAAATAAACCCACTTTAATTTTGTTATTTGAACTCAACAACATGGTATTTTGGAGGGAGAATGTCTTGCCTAAATATTGGGGCTATCAGCTGTTTCAACCATTTAGGACCATTTAGAAATGTTTCTTTCCATGAAAATATGAAATCAGGATGATATGCCTTTAGATGATAATAGATGACTTGTCCTTATTTGAATCCTATAAAACATGGTGAAGATCATACTGAACTTTCTGTGTTTGCGTCAAATAAACTTGTTAAAGGATAAACTCAGTATCAAGGTTCTGCAAGTATCCTAAGTAGCTATTTATACACTTCACTAATCCTTGTAATTGCCTTGTCTTTTACTGCCATTAATTAGATGATGTAGTATTCCATTAATAAGAGTGACACACCTCAGCATTTTTACCTTTAATTATAGACTTCACTAGATATGTAGGTTATTGACAAAATGGCCTAAATATTGCCTGACATACACATATATTTTTAAATGTCTTTCAGCATCCTTACCCTTCTGAAGAACAGAAAAAGCAGTTGGCACAAGACACAGGACTCACCATCCTTCAAGTGAACAATTGGTAAGTAATTTGGTTTTGTGTTTACACACAATCTGTTTCCCCCTCTGGCAACCTGCAGCTAATGTTTTACATTATGAAGCCACACCCAGTTGCTGCTGCTTTTTCCTTGGCTTGTTGATCCAAAGGTGAAAAGAAACTGTTGACTGATAGGTGAGAACACTTTCTAGTATGGGAAATAAAGCATTGTGTTGTTCTCCACCTCCTTTATGCACTGACAGATTTTATGTATAGGATGAGTGTGTGTTTAATTTACATTCACTCTGGCTCTGAAAATGTATTACTCTCTTTTGGCTTTTTTTCCCCTTCAAGTTAACCTGTAGGATGGTATCACCCTATTTGCTATAAAACAAAGTCTGCCATTCCATATAGTCAGTTTTAAATTTATCAGTTAGAGTTTTGGGGGGGTTGTAGAGTCAAGGATGGTCTAGTCTTCTCTGTTCAACTTATCCCCCAAATACTGAAGGGAAGAAATTATTTATCTTTCTACTTTGAAGCTGTCCAAACATGAATGTATCTGAAGGCTGTGCTCTCCTTGTTTCTAAAGGAAGTGTAAATTCCCGATTTGGGCTGAAGCTGAGATTTTATACCAAGTACCACCCAGTGATATTTTGACAAAGTACAGCAGTATGGCAACGAGACTTTGAGAAAGTCTGATTTATTACCCTCTGTGAGTGTGCTGAAAGCCAGGTTTATGTCGTCACCCAGGGCTAGTGTCATATTTGAAGGCTATCGAAATTCAATATCCTCTAAAACTAAGTGTATCTAATTAATTGTCCTAATATTTTTAGATTAGTGTTTATGATGGAGAAACCTTATCTTCTTTGAAGTAAAATCCAGAAAAGGCCCAAAGCCTGGTTGGAAAGGGGAGAACTGGAAATACCAGTTTGCAGACAGGAGTATTTCTTTCTATTCAATAAGTGTTAAAGATTAATATTTCAGAATCTCTGATTACATGGCCTAATCCATTTTGGTGAATAAATTTGTTCTTGATGTCCATTGCACCTACATTAACGGACCCTGCTCTGTTAGAAAGCCTGGAAGCCTTTGGGAGAGATTTCAGATATATTAAACCCCATTACAGAAAATGTAATTTCTGTCAATATAATCCCATGTATTCTTCAATTTAGTATTTTAGAGATAACAAGCTACTTACAATATATTTGCCTTTGGAGGATTAATTTACAAAGTGCACTATCTGCAAGACACAGGCAGACTCACATAAGCATTGCTTGTAAGGGTTATCAATTGCTACGACCTCACTGCAGCCTTCAGAGATCAATTTTGGCAGCCCTTTTAGTCAGTGGATAGGAAGCCAACCAAAAGCATGCTACATTTAAATGTGTTACTAACCATTTTGTGACTCCTGAGGTGTTTTGTTTCCCTATTTTTACCTAATATTATATTTTAATTTTCAAGACTATTGATACAACATATCTGAACTTAGTTCTTCCTGGGTTCTGGGTGATATTATAGGGGAGACCATCAATTTTACATGCGCACCTAAACTCACATATTTTAAAGCCTAAGCCAAGGTAGTAGTCATAATACAATGGAGGCTGTACAAACTTTGTGTTTCCCTGAGAAATGTTCTCATTTGAAGGCGTGGCAGGGAGAGCTCGCTAATTAAGGAACACTAACACGCTGCCTTTCAGGTGATCTATCAGACATGCCATCTCTTTCTCCTCAGTGTTGCTAGCAAACTCCATTCATAAACATAGTAACCAGGGAATAAATTTCAATACAAGGTGCTTTCTATGGGTGGACCATCGCATGAGATATTACCTGTGAGTTCAAGGACAGGAAAGCATTCCTATAATATCAAGCAATGCATATGAGATATAATAAAAGTTGTGGAAAATGTTTAAATTTTAAAATTACAATAAAGGGCATGTTGCAGTTATTCCCCCTCAAAATATTCTTTGCTATGAACACATTTATCCCATCTTTCTTATCACTTTCTGAAGTAATTCTGGAAGACTTCTTTCCTGATGGCCTTTACTTGCTCTGTTATGACTGCTTCAATGTCCTGAATTGGTTCAAAATATTTACCTTCCTTGGTCATTTTGACTTTGGGGAAGAGCCAGAAGTCACATGGTGCCAGATCCAGTGAATAAGGTGGGTGAGGACACACTGATGTTTTCACGAGCCTGCCTTTCTGTTGGATGGCACTGAGCAGCAGCTTTCACCATATTTCTGATCATACGGTATAAAAGCATTCACAAAGGAGGACTTTCAGAACTGCTTCAGAAAGTGGTAAGAATGGGCGGGTAAGGGTGCTCAAAGGGAGCAGGAGCCTTTTGAGGGGAATAAATCACAATGTGTCTTTTAACTGTTTTTATATATTTTTGTAACTATAACTATATTTATATATTTTAACTAATTAAAAAAATTAAGCCTTCCCTGTGTATTTTTATCATACCTCACATGTACTGAGAGTAACAGGTCCTAGTCAATGATTACAACTTAACTTACTTTACCTTGTAAGTAGAAAGGAGAAAAAAAAGTCTTATAAAAAATAATAACACATTAAAGATAATTTTAATGTACACCCTGGCTTTTAATTTCACATTTATACTTAACTTGGCTCAGATACATAGTTTAAAAATCACCTTTACTTAGTTATTTAGAACAGATCACAATTATGTGCTGACCTGGCATTTGGTATGGTGTCTGTTGTCTCTCGTCCTTTCTGGAGTTAGCAGTGGCTTTGCTTGTACCTCAATGCTTTGCATTTGGCAGTTATTTTAACTCCTAACATCTTTGCTTTAGAGAATGTCCATAAAGTAACTAAAAGATATGAGAGCAATTGTTTCACTTAAGTTTGGTAATTACGACATTTCTGTGTTTAATTTCCGCTTTTATGGCTTATTAATTTTCACCTAAACCTTCTCTTTTTAAGGAGCTGGTAACAGATTTATTTTTCTTTAGGCTTTAAGTGGGAAATATGATACAAAAATGGAGATATTCAGGTGGCATCATTTTGAAACCAAAGATGTCAGAGAATCTCAAACTGTGGCCTATTTGAAGACTTAAAAGTAGAGAAATTATGGAGTCATTCTCTTTTTTTTTTTTTTTTTTTTTTTTTTTGTTTGGTTTTGTGAGACAGGGTCTCACTATGTAGTTGAGACTGACCTAGAACTCACTATGTAGGCCAGGCTGGTCTCAAACTCACAGCAATCCTCCTGCCTCAGCCTCTAGAGTGCTGGGATTACAGGCGTGTACCACCATGCCCACCTTTTACTTTACTGTAATAAATAAAACTACACAAACCCTTTTTGAGAGCTTGGAAACATTTTTTTCTTTACAGAGCATGGGTCCATGATGTTATTTCCTTCCAAAAATAATGTTTTTTTTTTAAAAAAAATTATTACTGTTTTAGCATTTCCCCCTCATTTAGCCACAACTTAAAAAAATTTTGTTTCTTCCTTGTTGAATTTCTCCGAACTTGTTAACACACATGTACATTTTGGTATGAACTCTGAGTCACTGTTGAAAATATTTCATAAAATGCTGAAGGGCAGGTTGGGTGTAGATCAGTCATAATTATTGGCAGCAACATAATGTATTGGAATACACAATATGCTAGTGAAAAATATAAACTCCTGTCTAATTGTTAGCTTGTCATAGGAACCCTGCTTTCAGCTTTCAGTTAAGCTTTGACCGAAAAATGAGATGAGAAGTTTGACACTTTGTAGTGGTCCTCTCACCTCACTGAACTAATTTTATACCTTTTTAACTGGCATAAGTGATATATGCTAACTGCCTTAGCTGACTAGGCTAAAGTCAATGGGACCTGAGAAAGAAGGGGACAAAAGAAAAATTTCAATGCAAAACAAGACAGATTTGACTAATGAAAAGAACACTTAGAGTAGAAGAAGTAATTGTAATAACTCAAATTTGGCCTACTTGTCAGAATGAAAACAGAAAGAGTTTTAACATTGGTTGGCCTTAGTACTTCCGGCACTTAGGCCCTGAGATAGAATGTGAGATTTGTTAAAAGAGACAACATCATATCTAGGCCAATACATGGTTGGGTTTTTTTAGAGAGTTGAAGCAAGTATGCAAATGATTTGGGTAAAATATTTTACTTAGATTATTTAATTTAAATGAGATAATTAAATATTGTTTAACAAAAATCAACTTCCATTCCAAGTTGTCTAAATGTTTCAACCTAGGATATTGTGGTGGACATAAAGTTTAATAATTTTGAAAATATAGCATGCACCATAAATTGTTTATTCTTCCTCCCAACTATCATTTTAACCAAGAATGGTAACTAATTGCATTTGGGGCTTTTTTCTCTTTGTTTCTTATTGTTATTGTGGTTATGACAAATATTTCTGCTATATTTCAGCAGTAAGAATATTAACACTAAGCATGTTTGTCATTTAAGTAGAAACATCCTAAATTTTCAGGTTACATAGCTATATTTAGGTATTTAAATATTTAGGTTGACTTTCAAAGAATATACATACACACAAGTCAGTACTTGGTTCTTTTTTCTTCCCAAGTAGACAAAATTTAGATTTTTTATTGAAAATTTGAGTACAGAATGGTCAAATAAACACTCTCTTCCATATTTACAAACGAGTGTTGCAGACTTGGGAATCCTCAAAGAAAACTTATGCTTCATGATTTGCGTTGCACTTGCTGAATGCCTCAGACACACCCTGCCTCAGCAGAGTTCTATCCTAGGGTTTACTGAATAAATTTACATTCTCTTTGTTTACTACTTTCCACTTCCCACTTTTTCAGTAAGATCTGTTATTAAACGATTATCCCTGGATGCTCTGAGAAGGTGATGTTAGATGCCAGAGCTATAGTATATATGAAATATAGGGTGTATGTAGAGAGAAAAAAAATCTCTCTGCCAATGGGATATATGAAATTCCAGGTAGCACCCTAGCATCTGACATGACACTGTTTGGAACTATTGTACTTTACATTTCTCCTGTTTAGGGCACATGCCAGATTTTCCTGGTTACTTCATTTATTGCCTT